CTCCGGGGAGTTTTGATCAGTGAAACATTGTTCGAGCAGCGGTAGCGGCCACAATGTGACCTTTTTTTGGCCGTTTTTGACAACATTAAATTTGCTCCCCCCGTTCGCACATACAAAAGTCTGATTTGCACACAACTACTGAAGTACCATTGTATCAAACTCTAGGGTCTAGAGTCGTTTTGAAAAGTGACATTCCTTCATAATTTGACACATTAGCGCCCCCTACAGACTATTTCAAGTTTTAGGATGGGCATTTTCAAATTTAGTTTTTTTCAAAATGTTTGAACTTTTGCAACATAAATCTGTTTGGCCTCTTGATTCAAACAAGTCAATAGCGGTCCAAGCGTATTTTTTACCCTGTTGCGTGGCGACGGACCAAATGCGCCCCATTCATTGCAAATTGTACAACCTCACACAAACAACAAAACCAGCCTGGCCGTTTCACCGATTGCCTCCAAATCACTCCACATCATCTCAACACCTGTACCATCCAACTGTACTTCAGGGTCATTTTCGATCGGAGTGAACGTTGTTTTGGCGCGGAGGCCGCCACGTGGGTTCATTTTTTTTATGCAGTTTTTGACCATAGAAAATTGGCTTCCGTCTCTGCACAAACAAAGTCTGTGATTGGCACAAAACTTGAATCCATGGATTCAACTCTATGGGTCTAGGTCATTTGAAAGTTCTAATTTTGAAATTGGCTCTATAGCGGCACCTACTAACAGCCAATTTAAAACTGCCTAATGGGATGTGTTCGAGGTCAAAACTTTTGTGCCGTAGAACCAGTGTATTCTTGGAACACATGAAGTTCCTCAAGTCAAGACATGGGAAAAATGTTAATTATGGCTAATCCTCTGACAACCAGGAGTTACATCATTTTCACAATGGCCACATGGAAAAATGAAACTGCATTCATTTTCAGACATGTGTTGGAAAGCGACTGCCTCCTCGGCTACATTTCACGATGGCGCTAGCAACATTGCTCCATATCATCTCTCAACACATGTTCCTTCAACATGACTTCAGGGAATTTTTGGATCAGTTGAAACGTTGTTTGAGCAGGGGGAGGGCCTCACATGTGAGGGTTTTTTGTGGCGTTTTTTGACATACATTTCTACATTTGGCTTCGCGTTTGCACAAACTACAAGTCGGATTTTGCAATTAAACTTGAACTCATGGTGATCAACTCCAGGGTTGTAGGTCAGGTAAAAAGTGAACTCATTTGAAATTGGCCCATTAGCGCCCCCTAAAGACTGAGTCAAAGTTTCCTTGGGGGCCAAACACCGTCTACTTAATCATATTCATTACAATTAGACTCAACAATTCTTTCGTGTGCTACGGGAACAAGAATCATCACACAACGCGGCTCACCCTCTGCTCCGTTGAGCGGTTGCTGCGTGGTTGTGTGGTGCGGCGTAGTGCGGGGCGTTGTGGAGCGGCGCGTTGCCTCCATAAGGCTTGGTGCGGGGCGGGGTTAGCGAGGACAGTCACGATTATCCGTCGAGATGTTCTACGCTGGAGGTCAGGCGTGGTCGGGGGTGGTGTGGGTGGTTGGAGCGGGGCGGCTTGGTGCGGGGGCGGCTCTTGTGGGGGCGGCTAGGGTGGTGGGGCTTCTTATGGACAGGTGCGTTGCGAGGGTTGCGGGGAAGACGCGCTGTGCGGGCGAGGGGCGTTTCGACGGCTTGCGGCCTTTAATTGATTTCTTTCTTGTCATTTTCTTTATGTCTTTACTTTTTAATATTGCACGTTTGAGTTAATTTGAACCCCTGAATATGCATGAAAAGTATGTTTAATTTTGGCCCTCAGATACCTGGCGGAAATTCTAGATTTTTGGTGTTTAATGGGATCTCAAAATTTGTGCCTCGACTGCTGCCGCACCTTAACACAAAATTAAATACCCTATGGGGAGTGTCTGAAGATAAGGTTGTTGTAGAGTCATGAAATTCGGTACAATGTTCCTCAAGTCAAGACAAGAAAAAAATATTCTTATGGCACGCCCTTCTGACAAACAGGAAGCCCATAAATGTCACTGCAAAATGGAAAAATGAACAGCAAAAGTTTTCATACATGTCGGTTGGAAAGCGACTCCTCCTCGGCCGTTTCACCGATTCGCCTCAAAATCGCTCCACATCATCTCAACACATGTACCTTCAAAATGACCTCAGGGATTTTTGATCAGTGAAACATTGTTTCGAGCAGCGGAGCGGCAAAATGTGACCTTTTTTTTGGCCGTTTTTGACAACATTAAATTTGCTCCCGTTTGCACAAACAAAGTCTGATTTTCACAAAACTTTAATACATTGTCAACTCTAGGGTCTAGGTCATTTGAAAGTTAAATGATTCAAATTGACACATTAGCGCCCCCTACAGACTATTTCAAAGTTTTAATGGGCATTTTCAAATTTAGTTTTTTTTCAAAATGTTTGAAATTTTTGCACATAAATCTGTTTTGCCCTCTTGATTCAAAAAGTCAATTGGGTCCAAGGCTTATTTTTTACCCTGTTGCCGTGGCGACGACAAACGCTCCCCATTCATTGCAAATGTACACCTCACACAAACATCAAACCAGCCTCGGCCGTTTCACCGATTCGCCTCAAAATCGCTCCACATCATCTCAACACATGTACCATCAAAATGACTTCAGGGAATTTTGATCAGTGAAACGTTTGTTTGAGCAGCAGAGCGCAAAAAGTGGCGTATTTTTTTCAGTTTTTGACAATAGAAAAATTGCTTCCGTTTGCACAAACAAAGTCTGATTTGCACAAAACTTGAATCCATGGTTCAACTCTTGGGTCTAGGTCATTTGAAAGTTAAAATTTGAAATTGGCTCTATAGCGCCACCTACAACAGCCAATTTAAAAATGCCTATGGGAGGGGTTTGAGGTCAAAATTGTCGTAGAACCATGTAATTTGGAACACATGTTCCTCAAGTCAAGACATGGAAAAAATGTTATTATGGCTAAGCCCTCTGACAAACAGGAAGCCCATAAATTTCATTGCAAAATGGAAAAATGAAAACCAATCATTTTCATACACGTCGGTTGGAAAGCGACTCCTCCTCGGCCGTTTCACCGATTGGCCTCAAAATTGTTCCAAATCATCTCAACACATTTACCTTCAAAATGACTTCAGGGAATTTTGATCAGTGAAACGTTGTTTGAGCAGCGGAGCGGCAAAATGTGAGGGTTTTTTTGGCCGTTTTTGACAACATTAATTTTTTTCCCGTTTGCACAAACAAAGTCTGATTTGCATTAAACTTGAATCCATTGTTCAACTCCAGGGTTTAGGTCAGGTGAAAGTGAAATATTTGAAATTGGCCCATTAGCGCCCCCTAAAGACTGAGTCAAAGTTTACATGGGGAGCCAAACCAGCTCTACTTATCATAGTCATTACAATTTGACTAACAATCTTCTATGGCTACGGGAACAAATCATCACACGGCGGCGCCACCTCCTTTGAGCGGTGCTGCGTGGTACGGTGTGGTGCGGCGTAGTGCGGGGCGTTGTGGAGCGGCGCGTTGCGGCTTGGTGCGGGGCGGCGTGATGCGGGGCGGCTGGGTGCGGGGCGGCTTGGTGCGGGGCGGCGTGGTGCGGGGCGGCTGGTGCGGGGCGGCTTGGTGCGGGCGGCGTGGAACGGGGTGGTGCGCGCGGTGCGGGGAGTTGCGCGGTGCGGCGAGGGCCGTTCGACGCCGCTTGCGGCTTTAATTATACTTGTTCTAGCCCAGGAAAACCTGGGAAAGAACAAGTTTGCTGTTGTTTGATGTCATATTTGACCCACTGAACATGCACGAAAACTTACAAAATTTTGCCACAAGTTCTGTTCTTGCAAACACTTTATTAATTTTGTGTTCCCTAGTAAGAGACTTCAAATTTGAAGTTGTAGGGGGCGCAATTGTAGTCTAATAAAGCCACCATTTGCACATACAAAGTCCGATTTGCACCAAATTTGAATTGGTTGTTCAAGTTTTGGGTTTGGGTAAACTGAAAGTGTAAAACATCAAATTGAGGCATTAGCGCCCCCTACAGAATGTCATTTTCACACATGTTGGTTGGAAAGCGACTCCTCCTCGGCCTTTTCACTGATTTGCCTTAAAATCGCTCCACATCGTCTAAACACATGTACCATCATTTTGATTTCAGCGATTTTTGATCAGTGAAACGTTGTTTGAGCAGCGAAGCGCCAAAAAGTGGCGTTTTTTTTTTTAGTTTTTGACTATAGAAAAATTACTTCCGTTTACTCAAACAAAGTCCGATTTGCACAAAACTTGTTTTCATGGTTAAACTCTAGGGTGTAGGTCATTTGAAAGTGAAATAATTAAAATGCCAGAACAGCGCCCCCTACAACAGCCAATTTAATACTCCTATGAGAGTTTTGGAGTTCAAGTTTGCCGTAGAGCCATGAAATTTGGTACACATATTCCTCAAGGTAAGACATGAAAAAAATGTTATTATGGCCCCGCCCTCTGACAGACAGGGAGCCCATAAATTTCACTGTAAAATGGATAAACGAACAGCAATAATTTTCACACATGTCGTTTGGGAAGCGACTCCTCCTCGGCCGTTTCACAGATTCGCCTGAAAATTGCTCCACATCATTTCAACACATTTACCTTCAAAATGACTTCAGGGAATTTTTATCAGGGAAACGATGTTCGAGCAGTGGAGCGGCAAATAGTGACCTTTTTTGACGATAGAAAAATAGCTCTCGTTTGCACAAACAAAGTTTGATTTGTACTAAACTTGACCCGGTTGTTCTACTCCTGGGCCTGGGTCACCTGAAGGTGTAAAATATTACATTGGCTCTTTAGCGCCCCCTACATACCGAGCTAAAGCTTTACATGGGGAGCCAAACCAACGGATCAATATCACATACATTGGTCTATGGCTATGGTAGCAAATCATGGCGCGGCGCGGCGGCGCCACCTGCTGAGCGGCGAGTCACGCGGGGAGTCACGGGGAGGGGAATTGCGGGTTGCGGCGAGTTGCGCGGTACGGGGAATCCTAGCGGTGCGGGGAGTCGTAGTGCTGCGGGGAGTCGTAGCGCTGCGGAGAGTCGTAGCGGTGCGGGGAGTCGTAGCGGAGCGGAGAGTTGTAGAAGCGCGCGGTGCAGGGAGTCGTAGCGGAGCGGGGAGTCGTAGCGGCGCGCGGTGCAGGGAGTCGTAGCGGCGCGCGGTGCGGGGAGTCGTAGCGGTGCGGGGAGTCGTAGCGGTGCGGGGAGTCGTAACGGTGCGGGGAGTCGTAGCGGTGCGCAGTGCGGGGAGTCGTAGCGGAGCGCGGTGCGGGGAGTCGTAGCGGAGCGCAGTGCGGGGAGTCGTAGCGGAGCGGGGAGTCGTAGCGGAGCGGGGAGTCGTAGCGGAGCGGCAAGGCGCGTGGTGCGGGGTGTCGCGCGGTGTGGCGAGGGCCGTTCGACGCCGCTTGCGGCTTTAATTTATTTATTTCTTTCTTTCTTTTTTCTTCTGCACTTTGAGCCTTAATTTGACCCCCTGAACATGCATGAAAAGTTGTTAATTTTGGCCCAAAAATCAGACCTGGCGAAAAATTTGATATTTTGGTGTTTATTTTTATGGGACTCAAAAAATGCCAGAACAGCGCCACCTACAACAGCCAAAATAATACCCCTATGGGACTTTTTGGAGGTCAAGTTTGTCGTAGAAACATGAGATTTGGTACACATGTTCCTTGAGTCAAGACATGAAAAAAATATTATTATGGCTCCGCCCTCTGACAAACAGGAAGCCCATAAATTTCACTGCAAAATGGAAAAATGAACAGCAAAAGTTTTCATACATGTCGGTTGGAAAGCGACTCCTCCTCGGCCGTTTCACCGATTCACCTCAAAATCGCTCCACATCATCTCAACACATGTACCTTCAAAATGACCTCAGGGATTTTTGATCAGTGAAACATTGTTTGAGCAGCGGAGCGGCAAAATGTGACCTTTTTTTGGCCGTTTTTGACAACATTAAATTTGCTCCCGTTTGCACAAACAAAGTCTGATTTGCACAAAACTTTAATACATTGTTCAACTCTAGGGTCTAGGTCATTTGAAAGTTAAATGATTCAATTGACACATTAGCGCCCCCTACAGACTATTTCAAAGTTTTAGATGGGCATTTTCAAATTTAGTTTTTTCAAAATGTTTGAAATTTTGCACAAAATCTGTTTTGCCCTCTTGATTCAAAAAGTCAATTGGGTCCAAGGCTTATTTTTTACCCTGTTGCCGTGGCGACGACAAACGCTCCCCATTCATTGCAAATGTACACCTCACACAAACATCAAACCAGCCTCGGCCGTTTCACCGATTCGCCTCAAAATCGCTCCACATCATCTCAACACATGTACCTTCAAAATGACTTCAGGGAATTTTGATCAGTGAAACGTTGTTTGAGCAGCGGAGCGGCAAAATGTGAGGGTTTTTTTGGCTGCGTTTTTGACAACATTAATTTTTTTCCGTTTGCACAAACAAAGTCTGATTTGCATTAAACTTGAATCCATTGTTCAACTCCAGGGTTTAGGTCAGGTGAAAGTGAAATATTTGAAATTGGCCCATTAGCGCCCCCTAAAGACTGAGCCAAAGTTTACATCGGGAGCCAAACCAGCTCTACTTATCATATTCATTCAAATTTGACTAACAATCTTCTATGACTACGGGAACAAATCATCACACGGCGGCGCCACCTCCTTTGAGCGGTGCTGCGTGGTACGGTGTGGTGCGGCGTAGTGCGGGGCGTTGTGGAGCGGCGCGTTGCGGCTTGGTACGGGACGGCGTGGTGCGGGACGGCGTGGTGCGGGACGGCGTGGTGCGGGACGGCGTGGTGCGGGACGGCGTGGTGCAGGGCGGCGTGGTGCGGGGAGTGCGCGCGGTGCAGGGAGTCGCGCGGTGCGGCGAGGGCCGTTCGACGCCGCTTGCGGCTTTATTTATTTCTTTCTTTCTTTCTTTCTTTCTTTCTTTTTTCTTCTGCACTTTGAGCCTTAATTTGACCCCCTGAATATGCATGAAAAGTTGTTAAATTTTGCCCAAAAATCAGACCTGGCGAAAAATTTGATATTTTGGTGTTTATTTTAATGGGACTCAAAAAATGCCAGAACAGCGCCACCTACAACAGCCAAAATAATACCCCTATGGGAGTTCTGAAGATGAAGTTTGTTGTAGAGTCATGAAATTCGGTACACATGTTCCTCAAGTCAAGACAAGAAAAAAATATTATTATGGCTCCGCCCTCTGACAAACAGGAAGCCCATAAATGTCACTGCAAAATGGAAAAATGAACAGCAAAAGTTTTCATACATGTCGGTTGGAAAGCGACTCCTCCTCGGCCGTTTCACCGATTCGCCTCAAAATCGCTCCACATCATCTCAACACATGTACCTTCAAAATGACCTCGGGGATTTTTGATCAGTGAAACATTGTTCGAGCAGCGGAGCGGCAAAATGTGACCTTTTTTTGGCCGTTTTTGACAACATTAAATTTGCTCCCGTTTGCACAAACAAAGTCTGATTTTCACAAAACTTTAATACATTGTTCAACTCTAGGGTCTAGGTCATTTGAAAGTTAAATGATTCAAATTGACACATTAGCGCCCCCTACAGACTATTTCAAAGTTTTAAATGGGCATTTTCAAATTTAGTTTTTTCAAAATGTTTGAAATTTTGCACATACATCTGTTTTGCCCTCTTGATTCAAAAAGTCAATTGGGTCCAAGGCTTATTTTTTACCCTGTTGCCGTGGCGACGACAAACGCTCCCCATTCATTGCAAATATACACCTCACACAAACATCAAACCAGCCTCGGCCGTTTCACCGATTCGCCTCAAAATCGCTCCACATCATCTCAACACATGTACCATCAAAATGACTTCAGGGAATTTTGATCAGTGAAACGTTGTTTGAGCAGCGGAGCGCCAAAAAGTGGCGTATTTTTTTTCAGTTTTTGACCATAGAAAAATTGCTTCCGTTTGCACAAACAAAGTCTGATTTGCACAAAACTTGAATCCATGGTTCAACTCTTGGGTCTAGGTCATTTGAAAGTTAAAATTCTGAAATTGGCTCTTATAGCGCCACCTACAACAGCCATATTAAAAATGCCTATGGGAGGGGTTTGAGGTCAAAATTGTCGTAGAACCATGTAATTTGGAACACATGTTCCTTAAGTCAAGACATGGGAAAAATGTTATTATGGCTAAGCCCCCTGACAAACAGGAAGCCCATAAATTTCATTGCAAAATGGAAACATGAAAACCAATCATTTTCATAAACGTTGGTTGGAAAGCGACTCCTCCTCGGCCGTTTCACCGATTGGCCTCAAAATTGTTCCAAATCATCTCAACACATTTACCTTCATAATTACTTCAGGGAATTTTAATCAGTCAAACGTTGTTTGAGAAGCGGAACGGCAAAATGTGAGGGTTTTTTGGCTGTTTTTGACAACATAAATTTTTTCCCCGTTTGCACAAACAAAGACTGATTTGCATTAAACTTGAATCCATTGTTCAACTCCAGGGTTTAGGTCAGGTGAAAGTGAAATATTTGAAATTAGCCCATTAGCGCCCCCTACAGACTGATTCAAAGTTTACATGGGGAGCCAAACCAGCTCTAATAATCATATTCATTACAATTTGACTAAGTTCTTCTATGGCTACGGGAACCAATCATCACACGGCGGCGCCACATCCTATGCGCGGTGCTACGTGGTACGGTGTGGTGCGGCGTAGTGCGGGGCGTTGTGGAGCGGTGCGTTGCGGCTTGGTGCGGGGCGGCTTGGTGCGGGGCGGCTTGGTGCGGGGCGGCGTGATGCGGGACGGCGTGGTGCGGGGTGGCTTGGTGCGGGGCGGCGTGGAACGGGGTGGTGCGCGCGGTGCGGGGAGTCGCGCGGTGCGGCGAGGGCCGTTTGACGCCGCTTGCGGCTTTAATTATCAATTAATTTTACTCACCAAACTTAAAAACGGTTACTATGTTTGTGCTTGTGATGTGAAAATGTGGAAAAGTACATGTTTTATGAAACTCTTTCAAGCCAACGTATACACCTCATGCAGAGAGCAAATTAAATTGCTCTCTGCAGCTCTCACGGTGGCTGAGTGGATAGCACTCTCGCCTCTCAGCAAGAAGGTCCTGGGTTCGAATCCCGGTCAAGGCCTTTCTGAGTGGAGTTTTCATGTTCTCCCCGTGTCTGCGTAGGTTTTCCCCTACCACTAAAAAATATGTCCAATAGTTCTAGCATGCGCCTCCTGTACTGGCGACCCCGCTCCCATCTCTGTGTGGAGTGAGAGACAAATGCCCAAAAATTAACAATTGTAAACCGCTTTGAGACTCAGATCTGCAGTGAAAAGGCGGTATATAAATAAAAACTTACTTACTCTGTCTGTGGAACAGATTTGAGAGATTCAGAACAGAGGGATTTGTGTGTGTGTTTGGGTCGGTCCATTATTTTCTTTATTATGCTTAAGTTAGAGATTTTTTAGTATATACATAGATTTTATTTTTTTATTCATTCATTTATCTTGTGCTGTGTGCTCCTCATTCCTACTGTCCTGTAACCTATGATGCAACACTGAAATTTGCCCACTTTGGGACAAATACAGGATCAGTGTATTTTAGTGTGGATGAATCTTAAAAGAACGACCACTGTTTTTTTTGCGTTGCTTATTATTTGATATTTGGTTTTGTTTCATCTTGTCGTACAAGTTGACAGATCTTGATGGAGGAACTGTGTCTTATAGTTCTAATTTTGCAACATATTTCACACTTCATTCTGCACCTAAAATGACAAATGATCAAAGCGAGGTGGACTTTTGTTATATACATTTCGCAGAGTGAAGCAGAAAAAACAGTGTGAAGGCATTACCACATACTGTCGAGCCCCGGTCCATGTGGGGAAGCGGATCTGTCAGCATTTTCGGACCAGTGCTGAAAAACCAAACTGTCTTTTCCTTCCTCCACCTCTGACCTGAGCCTCCACTCACACCTGGGGAGCCGGGCCTGTTCCATTGTCTCATGTACAAAACCAAGGCGAGGGCGCTATCAAGTGGTGGCATTTTATTTTCTTAAAATTTCTAAAGGTTTTCATGAAAATCTATCCAAACATATGGCTTCATCTTCTTGGGCATGTCTTCTGGCTTCTGTTACAGATTTGTACTTTTTGAAATGGAAAAGTGAAGGAGAGATAACTGGGCCAATGATTTTGCTTTTGTTTTTAAAACCCTATTGTTGAGTGTTCCTTGTATGTTTTTTGAATGGCTTTGAATTAGATCCGGAATTTCTTACTTAATTACACTGTTTTTTTGCAAATGAAATATTCAGAATATTGCATGGTATTTACTAGGAATGTCTTGCTAATCTTAAAAACCTGCATTGAATACCGCAAAGATTATTTTGAAATAAATATACACAGAGAAAAGCTGTTGATGAACTGCCTAAACCTCTAATATTAATTGACAAGCATTTTATACAATATTTCATCTTTATTATAATATTTACATGTTATGCTGCTTTGAATAAAACACAGCACTTTATTCTTAAAAGTTCTGAATACTATAAAAGTCGCCCAACAAAAGGTCATGACGTTTTTATTGTTGTAGCTGCAAAATAAAAAATAAATAAAAAATTCAACCACAAAAGTATAGCTGTCAAACGGCTGCTGTACCATTTTGCAGAGACTAATAACTCGTAATTGCATTCCTCTCTGGTGCGATCGTGATGGACAGTGCACAAATGGGCCAGCTTTGTACACGCAGCTCAAAGCTAACCCTAGTATGAGGCAATAATTGTATTTTTGAGCACTTTCCCTCGCCTCTCCGCCTGCCCGCCACCTTCAGCGCCCTGGGTAATTGCTTGAATTGTGTTTTCTAACCGGCATCATAAAGGCCCGGCTTGGATGTAAACAAACCAAAATCAAGAAACGGCCGTGTTTTGACAAGCGCGAGACGAGCCGATGCCCGTAGAGTAGTTCTCCAACTCGTCTTATCCGCAGCCCCAGCCTTTATATTGTCAGCTTCTGAGGACACGTAGGCAAACTTTACTTAGACGGGCATTTTCTCTGTTGAAATAGTTACAAAGACTCGTGCAAAATGGAGAGCTGGAAGAAGAGGAGGGGTAGGGGAAATAAAAGGCAAAGATTGTGGGATGTTGGCAGAAGCGAACCGCGGATGGGGTTCAGAGGAAAGTGATGGGGTGTGACAAGTGTAGCGTCCCAGGCAGTGCTGCGGCCATTAGTGCAAGGAACGGCGAGATGTGGAGGAGACGAGCTATAGGACGATGTTTCTTGGATGTGGAAGAGAGGTTTGAAGAGGCCGCGACAAAAGAGAGTCCTGTCAAGAAGTTTGCAGAAGTGCCGTTTGCTACTTTTTGACTCTAGTTTGAACAAGAAAATCCACAAATGTGATGCAGATAGTGGCTTTTGAAACTCTCCAGAAGGCAAACATATGGGTTTAAGAAAAAGCTTCTTGGTATTGGAAGGTAGAGCAAGACAGCAATGGATGTTTGAAAGGCTTGTATCCAATTTTCTTAACACTAAAAACACTATAGTTGAAGACTGACAAGAGTAATTCATGACTTCACAATCTGCACTGGGGCATAACTAAATCTTAAATTATCTTGAATACATGAAATAAGAATAAAGGTAATTATTCACTCTGTACGCAATGACTTTTTTGGATTTTCTGGACTGTTTGGAAGAGCTGTTACAAGCTATTATGACAGGATTTTAGTATTTTACATGTGAGACAAATTCGCAGGGGACAAATATAGTGGAAATCCAAATTGATCATGTTCTACAAGAAGAAAAGTAAGAAAGAGCACTTCGCACGAGCCATTTTCTGTGGAAAAAGTGAAACGGCTGCTTGTTTGCTCTTGCTACTGCACTGTAACTGTACAACACCAACATTTTCTCCTAATAAACTGCCTTTATAAACTAAGAGATAGCTTTTGAAGGTAGATGCGTTTCCATATCCATATCATAGTATTACTTGGTTAAATGAGGTTAAAACATGTTTTACGGCATGGATACATTGACCTTCTCGCCTTTCCTCATTTAAAACTGAAAGTAAGTAAGTAAGTAAGTAAGTAAGTAAGTAAGCTTTATTTATATACCGCATTTCACAGACCAGAGTCACAAAGCGGTTTACAATTGTTATTTTTTGGGCACTTGTCCTCTCACTCCACACAGAGATGGGAGCGGGGTCGCCGAACAGGAGGCGCATGCTAGAACTAAGAAAGCAGGAGAAGCAGTCATTTGCTCAAGCTGTCTTTTCATCTGACCTCACCTTTGTACGTGGTGACAATAATGTTACTGGATGCTATGCAGTATGATTCTACTTGATGTTTTTTGTGGATTTAACTTAACATGGGATCCAAACAAGTTGCAATAACTTATGGTGAACTGATCTGTGAACTGATGTGTCATGGACTTTCACTGTTGTTTCCACTATCATTTCAAGAGATTACTTGGATTTGGGGCAACCAACAGTGATTGATTGGATTCCAATTGGAACCGTTTCTGTCCTGGAATTGCCACAACAGAAATTACAACTGCATTGCAAGAGCCAAACCTATGCCTGCAGATGGTACCTGCCAAAAAATGTCATCCTCGTCCTTCAAGATGCATGATAATCAATGATTTTTGTATTACTAAGACAACATTTGGACTTGGTCAAATGTAAGACACAATAGCCATTACAAATGCCATAGCCACCGGGTTTGGGCCCATTGAGTGGCAGACGTACAGGTTAGCCACTTCAAGCAGTCATGTAGGAACTCCGGAATAACAAGTTAAAATATATATTCAGATCATCTTGGCTACCCTTGGTTCTAAATTGCCTCCTCCTGTATTTGGCCGTCCAGACAAAAAAGCCTCAGCACGACCATTGAAGCTAACAAAGGCGTTTAGCTTTAGGCCAGCGACACGTCCACATAACGACCTCTCAGCGCATCTGAATACCACTTCTTTGTACCTTTACTCCTTCTTTATCCATTACGTGGCTCTAAATGTGCGCCCGGAGCCATGCGTGCAGGATTGTGCGTATAACCACAGCCTTTTCTTGACCTAGCGCCTTCTGTCTGGGTTCTTCAAACGCATGCATGAGGATATGTAGAGAAGCTGTGAGCGGAGCATGTGTAAATTGGCCTTTGCCCGCAGGTTATGGGCGCGTAGCGATGGAGGCAGCTCTACTGTGATGCACGGTGAGTATCGCGTTCGTGACAACAAAGGGGCGTTTTCCGGCAGTGTTTCCAGCATTATTTTTTCCCCGATGCTCGTTTGGTCAATGTACAGCGGATGGATCAAGTCGCCCAAACTGTTGGTGTGATGTTAGCAGCAGAGGGTTGTGTGGCCTGAAAGCTCGAGGGAAGATTTAGCAAACAGTACTGGACTGTAGAATTGGATTGTTGTGTTGTTAATCACTTAAAAATCACATTCCAATCTGGACAGATGAAGTCCAGAAGGAAACCGTCACAGCATATGACGGTGCGGCACGGTGGCTGAGTGGATAGCACTCTCGCCTCTCAGCAAGAAGGTCCTGGGTTCGAATCCCGGCCCGGACCAGGGCATTTCTGAGTGGAGTTTGCATGTTCTCCCCGTGTCTGCGTAGGTTTCCTCCGGGTACTCCGGTTTCCCCTACCACTAAAAATATGTACAATAGTTCTGGCATGCGCCTCCTGTACTGGCGACGTCGCTCCCATCTCTGTGTGGAGTGAGAGGACAAGTGCCCAAAAAATAACAATTGTAAACCGCTTTGTGACTCTGGTCTGTGAAAGGCGGTATATAAATAAAGATTACTTACTTACTTACATATCAGACTGCTGCTGATGGGTACAGTAGAGAGCAGTGGATTATTTCTTGATATTTTCTTTAAAAATTTAACATACTTTTGATAATACCCAGAATCGCAGCAGCAGTAATTTATATTTAATCGGGAAAAGTCCCTCGGGAAAGATTTCAGAATCTCTTTTCAGAGAGATTGGAGCTATTGTATATGTCTTAGTGGCAAATTATTTATCTGGTTTCCCTTTCTGCCGACACTTCTTTTGAGTGTGTTCAGGCAATAGTCAGTTTGGACTTTAATTCTGATGAGACCTGACGTAGGATGACTCTTTGTGGCTTAGGCTCCTCAGTGAGCAGAGGGCTGTTTGATGTACCCTGGCCTTTAGCGTGTATTTTTACCTTTGTTGCACATTCTGTATATATAAACCTAAATATTTTCATATTTTATATTTGTTATAAAAACGTGCACATTTCCTGTCTTTTTGCACACCTGGGTGGCTTATTTAAGCTAAATGTAACATGTATTTTTTTTTATTGAGAGACCAATAAAGTTTTCGTATCATATAACGTTGTAACAATGTTAACACAGTTAAAGCACAAGAGACTTGTTCATAATGTGTGTCATTTAAAAGTGTATTTCGTTTTACTAAAGTATCCTTTTAAGCAACAACACTGCTTATTATTTGTCACAATGTCATTCCCCTTTGTGAATTCTAACAACATCCCTGGAGCGTGAAATGCACAAAGTCACCTCTAACTGGGGGTAAAATCTGGCTTTTCTTTGACAGTTTGGTATCGATCCGCAGTGCGCTGTCATAGAGGCATCTTCCAAATTGCTCCTTGGGTTTTGGTCCAGGTCGTGCGATGACCAGTCAAACGGCTGTCTTAAAGGGCACTTCAAACCTGACACTGACAGCCGTAAAGGGGAGGGTCTGGGGTCAGAAATAAGCTGTCACATCACAACAAGAGCAGGAGGCATGATGGGACGCCTGTCCTGGTTCTGATTATGGCTCCCACTTCGAGCAAAGAAAACAGGGAAAGACTAAATCAGATTGCTTGGTTCTTGTCAGTTCACAGTCCAAACTCAAAGGAAGATTGACCCAAAGACAGCATCAATGCAGATTTTCTTAATTTTCTATAGGATCAAAAAGGCAAGTCATAATTAGTTTATCAAAAGTGCATGTGCTTTGGAATATTAGAATAATATTGAGGTATTTAATTAATAACATAT